TTGGTGGTATGCGGAGGATCCCTGGGAATATTAATTAGTCTGGTGCAACAAAGGCGGCGCCTCTTATCTTAGACGCCGGGCGCTTGGGGACACCACTTCGTCCATCACTTCCACTACTACCACTTCCACTTCTACTATTACTACAACCACCACCACCACTACTACTACTTACACTACTACTATTACTACCACCTACTACAACCACCACCACTACTACCATCACCACTACTACCATCACCACTACTACCATCACCACTAGTACGACCACAATCACGACCTCTACCACCACTACTAACACCACCATCACCACTAGTACGACCACAATCACAACGTCCACCACCACCACCACTACTAACACCGCCATCACCACTAGTACGACCACAATCAATACCTCCACCACCACTACTACCCTCATCACCACTAGTACGACCACAATCACAACCTCCACCACCACCACCACCACTACTAACACCACCATCACCACTAGTACGTACAATCATAACCTCCACCACCACCACTACTAACACCACTATCACCACTAGTACGACCACAATCACTACCTCCACCACTACTAACACCGCCATCACCACTAGTACGACCACAATCAATACCTCCACCACCACTACTACCCTCATCACCACTAGTACGACCACAATCACAACCTCCACCACCACCACTACTAACACCACCATCACCACTAGTACGACCACAATCAATACCTCCACCACCACTACTACCCTCACCACCACCATCACCACTAGTACTACCACAATCACAACCTCCACCACCACCACTACTAACACCACCATCACCACTAGTACGACCACAATCACAACCTCCACCACCACCACTACTAACACCACCATCACCACTAGTACGACCACAATCACAACCTCCACCGCCACCACTACTAACACCACCATCACCACTAGTACTACCACAATCATAACCTCCACCACCACTAATATTTTTCCTTCAGCCAATTTATTTCTCTATCTGATTACCTTCTTGTGGCTTTTAAAAGAAGTGTGTGCTAATAATAATAATAATAATTAACGGTTTATTAAGATAACATGACAGACAGGAGGTTTAAAATATACAATAAACAGAGGTAAGTTACATATGGTGAAATTGGGGAGTGGCTCACTTGATTGACAAAAGCTTTCAATACGAAAAGATAAGTAACTTAGAGTCAACATGTAGATTAACTATAGACCTGGTACTGTGTGTGTGTAGTAATTTGTTAAGTGTTTTTCCTATTTTAGTTACGGTATACAGTATATTATCATTGAGACTAATTTATATACTCATCTGTTGAATTACCTTCGCATGCCAGCTACACCAACATGTCTACTGTAAATACCTATCATGATTACTGGCTCACTCACTCACTCACTGGTGGAGAACAAGTCATCCACTCTCACTGACGGAGCAATAATGATTTTACGTTGGCGCTGTGTATGAATGACTCCTATGTTTTTGTTTTTGTTTTAAGATTATAATACTTTGTTAAGGATTTTAATGTAATGTACTGATTTGTGTGTAAGATTGTAGGTGGCTGTGTTATATTGTGATGTGATGTGTTTTGTGTCGTGTTATGTGCTGTGTTATGATGTGTCGTGGTGTGTTGTGTCGTGTTATGTTGTGTTGTGTCGTGTTAAGATGTGTCGTGTCGTGTTATGATGTGTTGTGTCGTGTTATGTTGTGTTGTGTCGTGTCGTGTTATGTTGTGTCGTGGTGTGTCGTGTTAAGATGTGTCGTGTCGTGTTATGATGTGTTGTGTTGTGTTGTGTTATGTTGTGTTGTGTCGTGTTATATCTTAGCGGGTTTAAGAGAAACTATTTTTTTTTATTCAGTTTTTTATGTCGGTGGAGTAATGTAGCGCCATGTTAACTTAACCTGTAGTGTAGCGCCTTGTTAACTTAACCTGTAGTGTAGCGCCTTGTTAACTTAACCTGTAGTGTGGCGCCTTGTTAACTTAACCTGTAGTGTAGCGCCTTGTTAACTTAACCTGTAGTGTAGCGCCTTGTTAACTTAACCTGTAGTGTAGCGCCTTGTTAACTTAACCTGTAGTGTAGCGCCTTGTTAGCAACCTGTAGTGTAGCGCCTTGTTAACTTAACCTGTAGTGTAGCGCCTTGTTAGCAACCTGTAGTGTAGCGCCTTGTTAACTTAACCTGTAGTGTAGCGCCTTGTTAACTTAACCTGTAGTGTAGCGCCTTGTTAACTTAACCTGTAGTGTAGCGCCTTGTTAACTTAACCTGTAGTGTAGCGCCTTGTTAACTTAACCTGTAGTGTAGCGCCTTGTTAACTTAACCTGTAGTGTAGCGCCTTGTTAACTTAACCTGTAGTGTAGCGCCTTGTTAACTTAACCTGTAGTGTAGCGCCTTGTTAACTTAACCTGTAGTGTAGCGCCTTGTTAACTTAACCTGTAGTGTAGCGCCTTGTTAACTTAACCTGTAGTGTAGCGCCTTGTTAACTTAACCTGTAGTGTAGCGCCTTGTTAACTTAACCTGTAGTGTAGCGCCTTGTTAACTTAACCTGTAGTGTAGCGCCTTGTTAACTTAACCTGTAGTGTAGCGCCTTGTTAACTTAACCTGTAGCGCCTGCTAACTTAACTCTGTGTAGCGCTCAGTTAACTTAACTCTGCGTGCAGCGCCTTGTTAACTTAACCTGTAGTGTAGCGCCGCCTCGTTAACTTAACCTGTGTAGCGCTAATAATTTAAACCTGTAGTGTAGTTTTGTTAACTTAACCTGCAGTGCAGCGCCTTGTTAACTTAACTCCGAAATGTAGCGCGCCTGTTAACTTAACCTGTAGCGCCTGTTAAATTAACCCGTAGTGTAGCGCCTTGTTAATTAACCCGTGCCGTAGCGCCTTGTTAATCTCTAACTCTGTAGTAGCGCCTTGTTAACTTAACCCAATGTAGCGCCTGTTAATTCAATTCCGTAGCGCCTTGTTGCTGACCCGCAGTAGCGCCTGTTAATTCTAAATTCAGGTAGCGCCTTGTTAATTCTGGTCCCGCAGTAAAGCGCCCGTCAATTCCCCAACTCAGTAATGCCTTGTTAATTTGAACTCACAGGCGCGCCTGTTAATTTAACTTGTGTAGCGCCTTGTTAATTCTAATCTGTAGGTAGCGCCTGTTAACTTAACCCGTAGGAAGCGCCTTGTTAACTTCAATTTGTGTAGCGCCTTGTTAACTTAACCTGTAGTGTAGCGCCTTGTTAACTTAACCTGTAGTGTAGCGCCTTGTTAACTTAACCTGTAGTGTAGCGCCTTGTTAACTTAACCTGTAGTGTAGCGCCTTGTTAACTTAACCTGTAGTGTAGCGCCTTGTTAACTTAACCTGTAGTGTAGCGCCTTGTTAACTTAACCTGTAGTGTAGCGCCTTGTTACCTGCTCACAAGTTAACCATCTTAGGTCAGTGTTTACGTCTGGTGCTGTAGCTGTTGTATAATTGTTTCTTCGCTATTGGAGGTACTCATCTGTTTCTGTCATGTTTGTCTGTCTATGTCAGTGTGTCTGTATTTATGTCTGTCTGTCTATATGTGTATGTCTGTCTGTGTATATGTGTATGTATGTCAGTCGCCATCTGTCTCTATTTGTCTGTGTATATCCGTCTCTGTCTGTCTGTGTATATCCGTCTGTCTGTCTGTGTATATCCGTCTCTGTCTGTCTGTGTATATAAGTGTATATATCCGTCTCTGTCTGTCTGTGTATATAAGTGTATATATCCGTCTGTCTGTCTGTGTGTGTGCCCGTGTCTGGCAGTCCGTCCCTCACAAACTTGCGTCGACAACTAGTCAAACATTTTTCATTGAACTGATGTGATGTGTGGCTGGTTAATTGTCATCATGTGATTATGTTGTTTGTAATGTGTGTGTGTGTGTGTGTGTGCGTGTGTGTGTGTGTGTGTGTGGTGGATGGGGAAACACCTATTTGTGTGTATTAACTCTATTGACTTCCAGTTATCAGGGGATTCATTTAGTAGGTAGTTGTGGTGGTGTAACATGATATTATTTGTCTAGTGATTACAATTGTGACGTGTGTGTGTGTGTGTGTGTGTGTGTGTGTGTGTAAGTAATAATTAACGGTTTATTGAAATAGCATGGCATCCAGAAGGTTGAAAATATACAGTTAGATAATTGGGGAATGGGTCTCTTGATTTACAAAAAATATACAAGTAACATAAGTGATACAAATATGATATATAATAACTAGGTGGGGAGAAGGTCAAACTACAGGGCATTTCAACATAGTGACAGTGCAAGAAGTAAGATTGACTGGGAGTGAATACACTGGTTGATTACGTGTTGTTGATAATTTTTACAATGGTTGGGACTGGGCTGTTCTTATAGCGATCAGTTCGTGCTCGTATGGGCTGGATGTCGAACAGCAATTCTCGGACGCGGGATCTCGGGTGGTAGTAGGAGCCGGTGTGTGTGTGTGTGTGTTTTAGTGTACCGGTATGTGTGTATGTATGTGGGTTTTTAGTGTACCGGTATGTGTATGTGTTTTAGTGTGTGTGTGTTTTAGTATGTGTATGTATATTAGCATGTGTGTGTAGGTATGTATGTATGTTTGAAAGGACTGTAGCTCTGGGGGGGGGGATACATGTGCAGTCAGATATGAAAGCCTCAATTTAATAGATCTGGCGTCGCATTTATCTGTTTTTAATTGTCACTGGTAATATTTATAACAACTAATCGTATATATATATATATCGCTCCTGACCTGAAACTATAGTAGTATACCTGTATACCGTAGCTCTGGAAACCTTCGACAATATTGGAGGCTGTTGAAAAAAAAAATACCATGTGTAAGAATTTTTTTTTGTATCGTAACTTATCTGTATCTTAATTGTGTATTTGTCTTTATTTTGTATTTTTTGTATTTTATTTTGTATTTTGTCATTATTTGTTATTTTATATTGTATTTCTATTTTATGATTTCTGCTTCCTGACAACAATGCTAATTTCTCTTCTTTTTTTTTCTCTGTTACAGGAACAAGAGGGTGAAGGTCGGCAGCTTGTGAAGTGCGGTGATAAAAGCCCCCCTTCCCCCTCCTCCCCCCTCCTCCTCCCTTCCCCCGTCGAGGAGAAGTGGTGGTTGTGGTGGTGGTGGTGGTCGTCGTGTGCGTGTGTGTGTGTGTGTCAGTCACTTCCTGGTGGTGTTGTGGTGGTGGTGATTATAACCAGCCCCTCCAAAGCTCCTCCTCTTCCTCCTCTCAATACCATCACGCGCCACCACCACGCCTCTGTGCTCGCTCTGTGGGAGAGAAGTGAGAGAGAGATAGATAGATAGAAAAGAAAAAAAAGGGTAAAAGTATAATCCCAAAATATCTCTCTTAGTATATCTCTTTATCAGTAATATAGAGACGGAAAAAGCTCTGGTCCTAAAGTGTGAGTAGTTATAGTGTGCGGTTTATAATTAAGTGCGAATATGTAAACAGACTGGAGAAAGTCCTGTGTGTGGTGTACAACAACAACAGCTACTACTACTGCCCCTCGGACAACTACTGTCGTCGCCCCCCCCCGTGGGACATCACCGGTGGATGACTCAAAACAAAGGTTAGTGTTGTTGTTTTGTCTTAGTGTTTATTTATTTATTTTTTATATATACCCCGATGTGTTTACGTTTTTCATTCGCTGACTTTTGAGATCTGGTGGATGAGGTGGTGATGTTACAATGTACTGTACACCCCTTAATGTAATAGTCGTAATGTTGTTTACCTTGTGTGAAATAACAAATGGATCAGTGTTACAATGTACACCTCTTGTATTACACCCAACATAATGTAGTTTATCGCTATGGAAAAGAAGATGTAAAATTAGTGTTTGTTTTTTCCCGTCAGCATAAAGGAATATAATAGTATAATAATAATAATAATAATAATTAACGGTTTATTGAAAGAGCTTGGCAGCCAGAAGGCTGAAAATATACAGTTACATATTTGGGGAATGGGTTACGAATTACAAATAATATACAAGTAACATAAGTGACACAAATAAGATATATAATAACTAGATGGGGAAAAGCTCAAACTACAGTTCATTTCAACATAGTGACAGTACAAGGAGTAGTGTTAACTGGGAGTGAATACACTATTTATTACAAGTTATTGATAATTTTTACAATGGTTGGGACTGGGCTGTTCTAAGAGCGATCAGTTCGTGCACGTATGGGCTGGATGCGGTTGTGGTGTCGAACAGCAATTCTCGGACTAGGGATCTCAGGTGGTAGTAGGAGCCGGTATTGTAGTGTGTGTGTGTGTGTGTGTGTGTGTGTGTGTGTGTGTGTGTGTGTTAACCGATAAATTGGTTTCTTTTGCTCTTGGTGGTGATCCTGGTGAAGTATATAATATCTGTACCCACTACAGTCCGTGTGTGTGTATACGGACGGTATGTTAGTCAACGTGTCAGATCAGTACTCATTTCTGTTTCACCTTAAGGATATATACCCCTCGTAAACAGACCCACTTAACCCTTCTCTGGTGTAACCTATAACATATATACTGTAGATGAGGAAAATACTGACGTTTGAATTCCAGTGATTTCCAATAATTTAGTTTTAATATATCTTTATTTACGAGAGATAATTACCACTCCTTGTGTTTATCAGTCCGCTCCCGTGTCGTGGTCTGGGGTGTTGGTGAATTATTTGTTTTTAATAGATGTTGTAAGTGGAGGAGGAAGTTGTTTTGTGGGGTAGTGTAAGGTGTTGATTAGTGATGTGTTTAGGGGTGGTGGGGCTGTGTCGTATTCACTGGATGTGGTGAACCCAAGAGAGAGAGAGAGAGAGAGAGAGAGCGAGAGAGAGAGAGAGAGAGAGAGAGAGAGAGAGAGAGAGAGAGGACATTTTAGAACAAGATGGGGAAGTTGAGAGATTAGGAAAGAAGAGAAATTAGTAATGGAGGCTGTGAGGAATGAGGATGTAGCCTATATATATAGTTCTTAAGTGAGTAATGATAGTACTAGTTAATATATACCGTAGCAGTAATAGTAGGCGGTAACTAGTAAAACAGTAATGCAGTTTTAAGGGTAAGTGATGGTGATAATACCGGCATAAGTTAGGTTAGTGTAGGTTGGGTTAAGTTAGGTTAGGTTAGTGTATGTTGGGTTAGGTTAAGTTAGTGTAGATTTGGTTAGGTTAAGTTATGTTAGTGTAGATTGGGTTAGTTTAAGTAGTATAGTATATTCATGGTACGCCGCCGCCCCCCCCCCCTAATATCATAAACAAAATATTAGTAAAAAAAAGTTAAAAGGGGGAGGGGGAGGAGTAGTTATTGTTGAAACACTTAGTTATTATTGTGTTCAAAATTCATCTTACTAACACAAAAAAGGTGTCTTGAGATATTGCCCCCCTCAAACGCACGGTAATTCCTCCCCTTTTCTTCTCTCCCGTTTCCCCTCACCCCTTCCCCTCTCCCTTCCTCTTCCCTTTCCCCCCCTCTCATTTCCAAACCCTTCCTCCCTTAACCCTCCCCCCTTCCCTTATCCCTCCCCCTTTCGCATGCGCTACGCCCAGCACCTAGAGACTGAATCGGGATGGGTGATGGGGTAGTGGGAGGTGTGCAAAAGAGAGGAGGGAGAGAGAGAAACTGAGGAACGAAGAGGTTGATGAAGAAATACTTAAAAAAAACAAGAAAGAGATGATGAATAGAAAAGAACACAAAAGGGGTGAGTGGGGGAGAAGGAAAAAGTAAGTAGAGAAACACAAAGCGAGTGAGGAAGAGGAGGAGGAGGAGGAGGAGGGATGAACTACTAAGAATGAGTAATAGTGGAGGCAGGTGGAGGTAGTAGATAGATGAGAGAAGAATACAAAGAGAGAGGGAGAAGGTCGATAGAAAAGAACACAAAAAGCGAGAGATGAGGAGGAGGAGGAGGAAGCAGCAGCAACAAGAAATACTAAGAGTGAGTAATAGGTGAAGGCGGGGGTGGGGGGGAGGCAGGTGGAGGATGAAGTATAGAGTGGTGTGAGGCTCGCTGACTGGTGGTGCTGCACTTAACACTCGCTGATGAGAAAAGTTGTAGCGGGGGCTTAACACAGCTCCAGCTGCCCAGGGAACAGCTGGACCATGTCTAGGAGGAGAGGAGGGGGGCTGGAGGAAGAGGATGGCTAGACTGCTGTTTGGTTGCTGGAGAAGGGATAGGTGATGTTTTGGGGATGGAGGATGGCTGGACTGACTTTTGGTTGCTGGAGAAGGGATAGATGGAGGATGGCTACTGTTAGGCTTCTTAAGTAAGATGGTTCACAGGTTGGTTGCTGGGTGAGGGAGGATGGGGTTCTGGCAATATTTGTAAGGCGAATCCCTTTGGGGAGTTGTGTTAAGTATTGGTCTCTCTTGTATCAGGTAGCGAAAACCCGTAATTCCATTGCTTAGCTGAGAGAGAGAGAGAGAGAGAGAGAGAGAGAGAGAGAGAGAGAGAGAGAGATGATGGTAGCTCATATGAGAGGGAGAGAGTCTTTTATCCCAGCACCGCATATACCGTAGTTTTAAGGTTTTAATGTGAGAAGCGAATACAGAAACAAGAGAATTCGGTAATGCAGGAAACGAACACATTTCACGCCGCTGGATATCCCAAGTTTGTATTTACGCTGACGATAATCGAAACGCTTGTTCCTGACAGCCCAGAGAAAAATCTCATAATTCCCGATAATCCGAAATCCTCCCCCTCGATAATTAGAGAGGTTCCGAGAAAAATTTCCAACGAGTTGCTTTATTCCCTCCATTAGATTCCGTTTTCGTTAAGTCCTAATGTGTGTGGGTGTTTTTTCTGCCCGGTTTTAGACGCTGGTGAAGACAATGGGTGAGGGTCGGGGGAAGGGTGAGTGCAAGGGGGGAAATGTAGGAAGGGTGAAGAACTGGGGATCGAAGTAGGGGTGAGGGCAGGGTGCAGATATGGGAGGGTGGGTTAGGTCGTGGGGGTTAAGATGTTGAATAGCGGTAGGATCATGTTGCACAGGTTGATGAAGGGAAAGTGTCGTGTTGCATCCCCGGGTCAATATGTTACAACTTTATGAAGCTTTAAAGGCGCTGTCTGCCAATACTCGGGTAGATATTTAGGGGGAGACTTGGCAGGTGAGTAGTGACGTAACTTGGGGGTACAGGTGTTCACCAGGTAGACAGATTGCCAATTTTTTTTAACTCGGTGTACCTGGTGGCGTACTTGTGTGCATGTTGTTGTGTGTGAAATAATTATTTTATTTTATTGTTTGTCTATCTGCCTTTCATTGATTATCATTCATTCATTCTTATACCTGCTTTAACGGCTATGTTCTTGCGCTTCTTGTATATATTGGTTTTATCACTGTTGCCTCATAGCGTCCACCCCTCCCCACAAAAAAATAAATAAAAGAAATAAAACCCTTGACACTATGTTATAATGAAGTGCTGTATGTTTAATGTACCGTACGAATCCTCTGTGTGTGTGTGTGAGAGAGGGGGGGGGTGACTTTCCTCTTGGTCGTGTGTGTTATGATAGATGGTAGGTGTGTTAAGCAGCTGTAGGTAATTAGCTGTGATGGAGGTAGGGTTGTGTGCTAATGAGGATAGTTTTAAGGATAATGCTAGTCTTAATAATAATGTTTATGTTAATAATATAATATATAATGCTGATGATAATAAAATGCTATTAAGAAGAAATATCGGTAATTCTAATACAATAAAAAAAATTAAAAAGTTAGTATAGGAACATCAATACATAGAAAGAAAATGATCCTGATAATTAGAATATCAAAGTAAATGAATATGATGTTAATTTGTTTATGATTATTAAAATGCTGCTATTATTATTATTATTATTATTATTATTATTATTAGTAGTAGTAGTAGTAGTAGTAGTGGTAGTAGTAGTAGTAGTAGTAGTAGTAGTACGAGTATAATACCGGGTTATATTTTGGTGTATATGAACATTATATACTGTGCATACTAAGCCCAGTGTCTTCCTTTATTTAATATTTTTTTGTCTGTAAAGTTGCCAAGGAGAATTTCATTACAGCAGGCCGCGCATCGAGTCCAATCGGATTTCAATTACAATTTAAAAGTATGTAAATGTTACTGCTGCTAATGACGCATCTTACCTCCACCCAGCTGGATCTCTCTCATTGGCTGTCGTTCTGAGAGAGAGGGAGAAGGGGGGGGGGGAGATCTAATCATAGGTGTCGTGAGATTCAATTGTGTATAAGAGAGAGAGAGAGAGAGAGAGAGAGAGAGAGTCTAGTTGAAGGTGTTGTGTGTAGGAGAGTCAATCGAAGCTGTTGTGAGGATCAGTATCGAGTTCTTATTTGGCCCATACAGTAGGATTTGGGTCCTGGCCTAACCC